TCGGGTCGGGCGAAAGGGGGGGATTGAGAAAGGGGGGGTTACGAAATTTGCTGCATGCAGCTGGTTTCGGCCTCACCGAGGGGCCCATTCCTCGATACATAGCCGCCTCCGGCGCCGGGAGGCGCCGGGAAAATCAGCTACGTGAGCTGATTCTCAAACCCCCCCTTTGCTATCCCCCCCTTTCGCCCGACCCGAGATATGTACGTCGACACATACAAACTACCCGGTCTACAGCATCCACGGGTTGTGGAGAATTTGGCGGGCATTTCGTATGCAGCGTTACAGGCGAGGCACCCCAAGTGCCTCCTTGCAGGCAAGGAACTACATCTACAGCGATGCAGATAAGATGCCCCGTGTACACTTTTAGTGGCAAGGTAGTACTTCTACGGTGTGCAGATATGGTGCGGCGGAGTGGCTGACGCTCTACCAGCCACTCTCCCCTCCTTCGGTAGACTCAAGATATTCCGAGTTGGGTGTGAGTGCTCGCTCCTCTCCATGCTATGCCCCCACGCCGTCGAATGGCGCCCGCGCGCGCACGGGTGGCGGCTGCGCGGCGGCGACAGGGATCTCCCGACGGCGTTGCGAGAAAGAGAGCGAGAGAGAGAGAGAGAGGAAACAAAAAAAAACAAAAAGAGAGAGAGAGAGAGAGAGAGGAGAGCAGGAGGTGGAAGGGGGAACACCAGTAAGCGGAAGGAGGGAAAAGGGCGTGTGGAAGCAGGAGGATGACCGTGCGCGTGCCACATGCGGCTGCGGCCCGCAAGGTCTCCCCGCCGCTGTCTCCGAGGAAGCCCCCCCCCGCCCCCTCCCCACGTGCACGCCCGCGCGGGGTGGGCCCGGGAGCACGGGAGGGGATCTTTTCATTGTAATTCGGGGGCGGAAGAGGGGGGTGATGACTGGGGGGGGGTGGGTTATCATGGCGTGGGCCACGACATTTCCCCAGATGTCATGGCGCCTCTTCTTATTCCGCTATGTCCCTGGCCCCCCCGCTGGGCCGCGCACATGCCGCCGGTCATGATCTGCACCCCCCCCCTCTTGGACACCCCCCCTCTTGGCCGCTCCCGACCTGCGCGCGCGCCGTCGGGTCTCACTGGCAGGTCGGCCGTGTAAAGGCACGGGCGCCTCCGGGTCGTGGCGTGCGCGGTGCGTGTGCTGTGGTGTCTCTGGGCATGGGCTGCCTTTGGGAGAGGCCTGCGTCCTCTCGGGTGTGTCCTCTGCCGTCGTCGCAGTTTTGGCGCTCCAGCGGCCTGGGGCCTCACGGGGGCGGTTGGCCCCTGCGTCCTGCCGAGCTGCCCGCGCACGGGCGCGTGCGGCCAGCTGTGTTTCTCCTTTGGGTCAGCTTCGCGCTGCCTTCCGCCGCCGCCGCGGGTCTTGCTCTCCAGCGCCGCGGAAGCAGGATCCGATGACGCGAAGCCATTCGTGCAGTGGGGGACGATCCATGGAGAGGAAGCATGCTGCCAAGCGATTTCCAGAGGTCTACATGTAAACAAAGACGTGTTCAAAACTGGTCTGGAACATGTGTCCGACATTTGAAGCACATATGAAATTCAAGGATAGGACTGTTGGGGTGTCCATTGTCGTGGCATTCCGCAGCCGTCGCACACCCGGCCTGCTTCCGGAGCACGGCTCCCTCGGCTCCGCTGCGGCTCCCTCGCCGCAGGGGGCAATCCCCGGGAGAGCGCGACGTCACCCGCGCTCTTCGGGGTTCGCGGCTTCGCGGCGTCCTCCTCCTCCTCCTCCCCCTCCTCCTCCTCCTCCTCCTCCTCCTCCTCCACCTCCTCCTCCTGGGCGGCGGCCGCCCCCCTGCACACCCGGCGTTCCTGGGCTGCGGCCTCCTCCGCGCCCTCGCCTCGCGCGTGTCGCTTTTCGGCGTGGGCCGACCGAGGATTGCAGCACAAGATTACTCGGGCGTCGCAGTTCGGCGGCGGGCGAGGGGGGGAAACGAGAAGGAGAGGGCCTTCTCAGAAGGCGGCGGAGCTTCTCGGAAGCCCTCGCGCCTGCTGAGAAGCTGTTTCTCTCTCTTCGGGGAAGGCGTAGGAAACTTCTCGGAAGGCTGGGGGACGTCCGAGCCTTCTGAGAAGGCCCGCCCCTTCTCGTTTCCCCCCTCGCTCGCCGCCGAGCAACCCGGGTTGGCCATGGCCTGCAGTGTGAAGATGCGCGATAGGCATCGTCAGGTTTGGGCTGGCGCCGGCTTGCTCGTGACTAGCGTACTGCTGTTCCGAAAACTAATTGACACGAGCAGGCATAGGGCAACATTGCATGTTACACGTAGTCCAGAAGGGTTTTGGGCGGGCTCTGCTGAGTGGCTCCCCTGGGTAAGAGATGTCGTTTCGCCCCCTGTAGCGTTGCCATGTGACAGGTAGCGCATCGATCAATGTCATGACGCCCACTTGCAGATCCACTTTCGCAGGCCTAGAGGTTGACACCAACACCAATTTCGGCGGTGTGCCTCCACCGAGAGACGAAGATCCCGATCTCGGTGATGGTGGTAATATATTCTGGTTTCCAAGGTGGCCGAACTATTACCACCAACACCGAAATCCAGGATTATCTTCCCCTGTGGAGACAACCCCCTGTGTTGGTGTTGGTGCCCATTTCCAGGCCTCCAGCACTTGACGAGCAGAGTGGAAGCGCATCGTGTTCCACATCCCACGTTGCCTTCGGGGACCGAAGCGTACAACTTTGGCCAAGAGGATCAAGCGGCCCACCTTCTTCTGTGCCGGCGCGCAGGGGCCCGGAAGTTGGCGCTTGCTCCGGGGCTCCTCGGGGTTCGCCCATCGCCCGCCTTTGCTGCCCGTTTCCGCCGTCGTCCGTCGTCGCTGTTCCCTGGGTCGTCGTCGTCGTCGTCGCTATCGCCGTCGCCGTCGTCGTCGCTATCGCCGTCGTCGTCGTCCTCGTGGTCGTCGTCGTCGTCGTCGTCGTCGTGGTCGTCGTCGTCGTCATCGTGTCATCGTCCGCCGTCGGCGCTCCCCGTGCGTTGGCTGTTTCTGCCGTCCGTCGGCCGTCGTCCGTTGGTTCTCCGTCGTTCGTTGCGGCCGTCAGCATTTGGTCAGAGCCCCACATCATCAGGGGCAACTCGGGTCAGGGCTAACTCGGGTTCGTTTTTTCGGGAATCCAAACCCGAGTTACCCCGGACCCGAGTTACCCCGGATAACTCGGGCGCCCAATTTGGATTGCGTGGTTTCGCCTCGGTCGGGGTCCAGGGTTCGGCCTGGCGTGGGTTCTGGGTCTCGCATGGCGCTCACCACGGGTTTCGCTCCGTTCGGAGCTTCGGGCCTCGACCGGAAACGATGCGGGGTTCCGCCTTCCGCCCTCACGAGGCTCTTTGCAGAGGTTTCCAGCCCCTCGTGGGCGATTTTGGGTTTTCTGAGGCCAAAAGCCTTCCAGGGATGCTCACGATATGCCGAGAGTCGTCAAACCAATCAACTGTTCTGACTTCGAGCCAAGGTGGGGGCGACGTGTTAATTAGGGTCCTCGTTCTTACCCCTCTCCCCTCCTCCCGCCCTGTGCGGCCTTCCGCCTGAAGAGCTGGCTGAGGATTCCCCCGGTGCGCCCGACTGCCAGGCACGTGTTCAATCCGTGGTCTGGGTCTCGCTGGGGCAGGGCAGTAGCTTTTTTGCGCCTCCCGCCGCTGTCTGCACTCGCTGGCGTCAGGTGCTCAGCAGCGTTCCGCGTCAACAAAAACTCAGGGGGAAAACACACAGACACAATTCATGGCCGATTCCCCAAAACATATGGGAACATATGGGAAGTGGGAGAGAAGACAACAACCCAGAACATATGGGAAACTATGGGGACTCCTTTTGTTTGTGTGTATTTGTTTGTGTGTCCCAGGGCCCCTTCAACACACATTCCTCTCCCTTCGTCTCTCCCGCCAGCCTGCTTCCTGCCTCCGGTGCGGAAGCAGGCCAGGCCTTGGGGGGGAGGGGGGGCTCCCGGTCGGAGTCCTAGGTTTCGTTGCTTGTTGATGTTGTTGTTGATGTTGTTGTTGTTGCTGTTGTTGTTGTTGCGTTCGGCGGCCTGGTCTTAGGGTTTGGTGTTAGGGTTTAGGGTTTTGGGTCCACTAGCCCAAACTTAAAGCTTGTTGGACGTGCCCCACCCACCCATGATCCAATACATATTGATTTCAAATGACGACGACGATACCGATGACGAAGACGACGATGTTGATTTCAAAACGACGACGACGACAGTCGCGCAAAGTCTTCTGGGCAGCCGCTGCAGCGGCGATGCGGCACGCGCGCGCGACGACGCGATTTGAAGAACCACGTATAGTTACACGAGTCCCTGTGCGTCACAGGGACACCGCTCAGCGGCGGTGAGATTGCATGGAGTGAGTGGTTGCGCAACGAGCGCGGGATAGCTCGCTGCCTCGAGGAGACGGATTCGAGGTCGCGCCCGTACCTTTTCGCGAGGGGCAGTAACGACGCCATGCCTGGCATTCCGAGGCCACGAAGGTCTGAGAGGGACGCGCCGTGCGACTCGCAAGCCGCCCCTAAAACGCCATTTCTGACACCCCGGGGCCACGACTCTGTGTGGGGGGTGCGCCCTGGGACTTGCAGACCCTCCCATAACACCATTCCTGGCAGTCCGAGGCCACGACTCTAGGGGCGCGCCCTGGGTTTTGCAGATCCGCCCAAAAAAAACATTCCTGGAGCTCCTAGGGCCAGGATCAGCGCGAGGGTTGCGCCCTGCGATTTGCCAAAGCCCCCAAAACACCAGTCCTGGCACTCCAGGAAATGAGGGGCGCGCCCTGCGTTTGGCAAAAGTTATCGGAACACCATTCCTGGCCCTCCGAGGGCAAGGATTTGCGCGGGGGGTGCGCCGAAATGGGGGCGGCACAAGGGGGCGCATGAGGGCGCCATAAAGCATACCAGGGTACATATCTATAGACTCTTTGCTTTTAGGTTTTAGGACGCCTTTCGTCACCGCTATCTTCTGTCATCCTTGCGCCCTGCTGTCTCGTGCCCCCGCCGCCCATCCCCGCCCGCGCGGCGACGTAGCCCCTGCAGGCAGAGGAGCAGCTCGAGCGCGTGCGGCGACGGCCTCGGGTTCCGCCCATGCCCCGTGGATGAGGTCTTGGGGAGGAGGGAGGAGGAAGGGGGGCAGAGGTGAGGGGGTGCAATTGGGGAGGGGGGAAAAGGGGATGGGGGATAATGCAGGGAGTGGAAGCGGCAGGAGGGTGAATGCGGCGATGAGATCAGGGAGGGGGCAAGGAAATACATATAACCATAGGGGGAGAGAGAGAGAGAGAGAGAGAGAGAACCACCGAACGCAACATACTATATATACATATACATGTACATTGTGTATAGACATGAGGGGTACGGCATAGACACCGGTGTGTAGATGTACAAATGTACATGTCCACGTTTCTCGCATGTACGCACACTTTATATGGGGACACCGCGTTCAAACCGATATCATTGGAACACCTTTTACGCGCGCGGTGCGGGGGCACGATCTCTGCCAAATAACACCATGCGGGCCACTCGCGCCCGTTGACCGCGAGCGCATGTCGAACTCTTCCAAAAGCCTCATCACCAGCACGTGAAAATCGTTTTCATCATCATCATCATCATCATCATCATCATCACCCTCATCATCACCATTATCGTCATTTTCTTCGTCACCATCATCATCACCATCACCATCGTTACCATTCACATTAACATACTATTCAGTATTATCCTCATCAGTATTACCCGCATCGCCACCATCATCGGCGTGATCATCATTGGCACCGTCAGTAGCCTTGTCGCCGTCATCACCAGCATCATCATCATGACCACCATCACCATTTTCAGCAACAGCATCATCATCGTCATCGTGACCAGCATCGCTACAGCTTTGGGTCTCATCGGGCTGAGGATCATGCTTCTTAGTTGGCCCGCGAGTGCGACCGAAGCGGCGCGACGACCAGCTCGACGTGCCCTTCTCGTCGTTGCGGGCTTTTCGTGTTTCGGGGCAGGCCAATGGCAGTCAGAGCGACATCAACAGCGCCCATGGCATCATCGTTTTTGGCGATAGCGATCTCGAGGACCGCGTGACACTGATAGCATTGGCTGCGCTGTTAGAAGTGGCGAACATCGCTTCGGAACGCTTTCCTGTCACCTACGATCTTCGTGCGGTCTGGCAGCGTGCAAAGGAGGTTTTCGTTGATACATTTGGCTCCGTCCTTGAGCATCGGCCTGACAGTTTCCCTGCAGAAGAGCCTTAGTTTCCTGATTGTCGTGAGTTCTCGGGGTACCAGCGGGGTTGAACGCTCAGCGACGCTCCATCCAGATGACGGAAGAATTCTTGGCATCGATTTGTGTTTGGCCTTTTCGTGAGTTTTTTGCTAGTCGTTAGCTCGTCGATGTTCGCGAGGTTCCCGATTGCCGTGAATTGATGAAGATGGCAAGGTGCTGCTTGTCGGATGTGAGTTTCCCGAGGTTCTTTTTTGGTGCTCGTGCGCCTCTTGATGGTCATGCTTGGTCTGCCGTTGAGTCCCCTGCTAGTCGTGAGCACCCTTCGTGAGTGCTGTGGGCGCGAAGCGCTTCCTGATGCCCGCATGATGTTCACGTGTCTCCTGGTGGCTGTGCACTTCCTGATGGTCGTGGGCCTGCTCTTGGGCCCCCTTCTCGTCGCGAGCTTCCTGATTTTCGTGAGCGTCCTAATCCCCATCGGCAACGTGAAGATGGTAGTACGTTACCTGACGGACGTGAGCTTGAGGCGTTTCTTGATGTTCGTGCGCCTTCTGATGGTCTGGCGTTCCCTGGGTGCTCAGTGACGTCTCATCCAGATGGCTATGGGTGCCTTGCTTGGTGTGGATCAGCGTTTGGTCTGCTCTTGCGCCTCCCACACGTCGTGCGCTTCACGATGTTCGAGAAGTTCCTGATTGCCGTGCGCTCGGGGGAGGTGGCGGCGCGCTTCCTGACCGACATGAGCGTGAGGCGCTTCTTGGTAATTTCTTGTGTGCCTCTTGACGGCCAATTGCTTCATGGCGGTTGTGCGCTTCCTGATGGTCGAGAGTTTGCCCTTGACTCTTCTGCCTGTAGTGAGCCTTGCGGTATTTCGTGAGGTTAAAGGTTGCTGCGCACATGGTGAATCTGGTGGTGCGCTTCCCGGCTTCCTGTGTAGGGATTACGTATACAGGTTTCTTTAGGGAGGAATAGTCACGACAGTTCTCTTAGCAAGGATTCTTTGTTTCAGGGTTCCTTAATGAGGATTAGTTTTAACAGTTCTCCTTAAGAGAGTTTCATTTAGTAAATGCTCCTCAGCAGGGATTTTGCAATCAGGTGCCCCTAGTAAGGATTATGTACTGAAGGCTTCCTTGGCAGCTGATTAGGTTTCCATATTCTTGATTAGGTTTCCATATTCTTGTCCAAGTGGAGGCCGAACTTGCGCGGGGACGATCTATTCTGCGAGGTTTCGGCGCCTGCGGGCGCCTTAGCCTCGTCCAAGGGACCTGCCCATCGAACTTACTTTTCTTCAATCCCACCGGGGTGTTCTGCGATGCGATGTGGTGCTCCTCCCCCAGAGGGGGCGTCAGAAGCCTTGTTGTCGTCGTCCCATTCGTGACCCGGCCCGCGACCCGCCCGCGACCCACCCGCGACCCACCCGCGACCCATCCGCGACCCACACGCGACCCGTCCGCGACCCACCCGCGACCCGCCCGCGCTTCGCCCCGCGACCCACCCGCGACCCATCCGCGACGCACCCGCGGCCCACCCCGCGCCCGCCCCCTCACTCTTACCATATCCGCAACTGCGGGGTGTTGTGCATACATGCAATACAAAACCTAGAGTCCTCAGAGAGAGAGAGAGAGGGGAGAGAGAGAGAGGGGAAGCAAGACAAAGAACCCCACCCAGCCAAAACAAACGAAACACGAAAGACAAAGAGAGAGAGAGAGAGGAGGGGGAAGGAGGAAGAGGAGGAGGAGGAGGGGGAGGAGGAGGAAGAGAGGGAGACAGGAGGAGCAGGTGGAGTAGGAGGAGGAGGAGGAGTAGGAGGAGGAGGAGGAGCAGGATGGGGGGGTAGGTGAAGGAGGAGGGGGGAGGAGGAGCCGATGTTGGGAAGAAGTGGAGGAGGAGGGAACGGAGGAGGAGGAAGATAAAGAGGCGGAGGAGGAGTGGGAAGAGGGGGATGAGGAGGATCGCATAAAGATGTTTGGATGCTTATACCTCGTGGCCTTCGGCCCATCCCGCAATCGTGCCTGGGTTGTGGGTCAGAGGCCTCGCGGATGTTCAATTGGATATCCTGGGAGGCCTCTCGGGGGCAACTTAGATGCAGTGTTGAGGCTTCTTGGGTGCCGTTTGGGGGCCTCTCTGGGTCTCTTTGTGTACCTCTTGGGGGCCTCGTGGGGCCTCGAGGTGGCCTCTCGGGGCGGAAGGTTCGAATTGTCGGTTCGTGTTCCCCCTCTTGGGCCCCTCTCAGGGCCATCGTGGGGCCGTCTTGGGCGATGTTGGGCGCCTCTTGGCCGTTTTTGGGCCCTCTTGGACCGTCTTGAGACCCTCTTGGGCGCCTCTTGGGTTGTCTCGGGGCCTTCTTGGGAGCCTCTGGGGCCATCTTTACGCGTCGGAAGCCCGAGAACGCGAGAACGCGAAGCACATCGAAACACCCACGGGACATCAATGATTGTTGATTCTTTGGGCCTTCTTGGGGGTCCTCTTGGAGCGCTCTTGGGGCTTCGTTGGGGCCTCTTGGGCCATCTTGGGGCCATCTTGGGCGTCTTGGAGCGCTCTTGGGCTGTCTTGGAGGCCTCTTGGAACCTCTTGGGCGCTTTCTGGGGCCCTCTTGGCCCGTCTTGGGGCCCTCGGGCCTTTGTAAAAGTCACGCGGGGCAGTCCAGGAACGCGTGGGAACGCCTGGTAAATTTCAAAATTTTGGGCCCCAGCCAGTAGAATACTAGAACCTCAGAGTCCTGAGTACACCGAGGGGTGAGGGTGAAGACGGGGGAATGGAGACCAGGGGTGAGGGAGATGTGGGTGGGCGGGGGGGGAGGGGGGACGAGAAGGAAGACCAGAGTAACGTGAAAATGCGTCGACAGTGCTCCAGTTTCATCACTGGCGTCCAGGGGGCCTACCACTCAGGCTAGACTCCGTCTTTCAAAGGATCCATCCTCCACCCGTTTAGCGAAGAGAATCTCGGAGAGTTTGCATGTTCAGGTTTACGGAGGAGGCACGCGACAGTCCCATCTTGAAAAGGAACTACCCTCCACCCGTGCAAGTGTTTACAATATTGAAACTCTAGCTCTTGGTACTGAGGAAGTCCCAAGACGAGAACCGTATTGACGAGAACGGTATTTTGAGAATGAGCCGGCCTCCATCTTTGTAGCTATTGCAAACGTCGAAGACGAATATGCGCGGCGCTAAGGCGGGAGCCCCAAACCACCGGCCCTCCATTCCAATACTTATGTCAAGCTTGTAAGGCGAGAGCCATTATTTTGAAATCTACCAGCCCTCCACCCGTGTAACTGTTACACGGTTTTGAGTCGAATGTGTGCGGTGCGCGAAGAAGATAGCCCGATTTCGGAAACGACTGGCCATTCACCAGTGTGAAGTTCGGTTGTTGCGGAAATTTCACCCGGCCGTTCACACGGCCATTCACCCTCTGTGAAGATTGACCATTCACCCGGCCATTCTCCGGCCAATTGCGGACACGACCGGTCAAGTTTGATGTTTCGTGTTTTGGGATGTTGGTTTATAAGAAAGCCTCATTCGAAAAGCCCAGACCGGCCAACGATCGCGTCTCGTGCTGCGATATGGGATGCGTGGAGGAGGAAGATGAGGAGGAGATGAGGAGGAGGACGGGGAGGGGGGTGAGGACCCAGTGGGAAAGGGTAGGTTGGACAGGCGACGAGGGTTCGGGGCTACAGAGGAGGAGGTTGAATCAGATGGAGGAGGGGGACGGAACAGGGGAGGAGAAATAGGGAGGATTGCAATCACAGTGGGGGAGTTTGGGGCAGTCCTCCCCGCGCCCCCTGCAAATGCTGCTGAGCACGCTGCGGCCTGGTAATCAGAACGGATGGATTGATTGCTTTGATTGCCTTTTTTCTCGTGCCGTCTTTTCGGGTGTCGTTCCTCTGCTCTCCGCCACAGGGCCCCTCTTGCGAGTGTGCAAGAGGGCAGTCGCCGCCCTCGATAAGGATGGCCTCTCATCCTTGCATTTCCAGCTCGTCCCGAGCCGTTTTTGTGGCCCCACCCTGCATCCGTGTGAGGCGCAGAGGCGATATAAATGGCTGCGGGTTTCCGACGGTCGAGCCACCCCCCCTCAAGGCCCCGATACCACCTGACATCAGCAGTTCTGGCCAGGCGGTCGCGGATTATCACGAGCCCGTTCGTCAGTCACGATGTTACAGTTTGGGCTCAGCTTGTTTTGGCAAGCTCTTGTGTTGGATGCCGTGAGCGCAGCTTCTGCTGAAGATCAGACGCGCATGGTTGTTCTGTAAGGCCGTATCGTGGCCGAGTTTGTGGACACAGAAAAACATGAATTGAATAGGGTGGCCTTCGCACTTTTAGGCGGGCCAGGTTTTCATTTTGCGCCCAAACAAGCGAGAACACACACTGACCCATCCATTCGAATCAAGCCGTGACCCATCTCACAGACCGTCCATGTCCAGGGCTCCATGAGGATATTTGTGTTTGATTTACCGCAGGTTGCGCGCATGGCGCACGTATTGGAACACACCAGCACGTCATGATGCGATCGCGATTCAAGAGTTGTTGTGCATGAGCGTAAGTTGTGTGCGAACACGTGTCATGTCTCATATGGGACATTGACTCTACAGTTTTCACCGCGGCGATTGGTTATTGCATGGCGTTTGTAGATACTAGGGGACAGGGCGCTCGAGGACCCCCCCGCTGAAGAAGTCAGCGTGGACAACAGTGCAAGATTGTGCAGCCATGCTGGAATCCTCATCCCGCCTCTGCCCTGGACAGGTCTTGAGAGAGCTCCACAGAAGTCCCCGGAGGCCCGTGCAGGTCCGAGCCAGCCCCAGACTGTTCGGTATATTCGGGTCGTCAATTCTCAGTTCCCCCTTCTCCATCCGTTGGAAAACATGGGATGCTCTCTCGGATCGGCGCTGGGCCCTCGGGGCCCTCAGGGCCGGGTCCAGCGCCGCTGCGCGAAATTCGCGCTGACTTTCGACTGCTCGTGCATGTGTTGCCCTCTCCATGCTTGGTTTCTCCCCTTGACTGCCGAGGCGGCACGACGGACTCGTTCTCCAGCGCCAGCACGGCCTGCCCCTCGGCTGGGGAGAGAGCTGGGAGGAGCGCCGCTTGCTCGGGAACGAGTTCTAGGCCGAGTTGGGGGTGATGAGGGCAAGCTCTACGAGTTGTTTGCGTTTTCCGAAGCAGCTTGACTGGAAAGGTTGTATGTGATGCCTGTGGGAGAGTGGTCTGCCAGATCCGACATCGGTGGGGCGGTGTCTCCTGTTTGATCTCCCGCATGGTGCCGTCCGCCGGATCCAGAATCGGTTTAGTGTGTCAACGGCACCGTAACGGGTACTTACTAACGGGTACTTTGAATTTTGCCGAAAATTGCCACTTTAGGGCCTTTTTCTTGCATTGCAGCTTTGCCCACATCGGGAAGGGCTGGGTTCGCTGGGTCACTGGCCAAAGTACCCGTTAGTGGAGTCCCCGTTTGAGGGGCGCTGAGTGTGGTCTCCCGTGTCGTCTCCCGTATTGTCTCAGGGGGGTTTTCTGTACGCCTTCTCGTAAGGTAGCCCGCTCGGTCTCCCGTTATGGTCTCTCGCATGGTCGCGTGCAGCACCGCAACAGGACATGTGCACTGTGTGTGTTTATGCTGTGTAGGGTGTGTTGTCGCGAGGGTCTGCTGTCGCGAGGGTGTGCTGTCGCGAGGACGATCGGTGATCGACGGTCGATCCCATGGTTGATGATCAGTTCGTTGCATGATCCAGGACTTCGGCACGTTGTTGACGCCTGAAGGCCTTCGGAAGCCCTTTGCAGCGGCTGGGCGCGGCTCGGAGGACGGTCAAGGACAGTGCCTAGGTGGGGCCCAAGGAGGCGGCAATGCCATGCCGCACGAGAAAGGTCCCCCACCACACTCCCCAGACCCCTCGAGTCGTGGAGCAACCACGGCGGGAGGTCTTCTCTACCGTCGACGTTTTGGGTGCCCTGACCGGGCCTCGGGACCGCCAAAGAACGAGTCGAGATGAAAAGACGGCCCCGGGGAATTGGTGAGCGAGTCGTCTTTTCTGAGCCCCCCGCGGCCAGAGTGAGGATATGAAGCGCCGCGACTGAACAAGAACAGATCGTCGGACTTCTTGTGCTCGAGACACCTGGAGCGATCAGGTGGAGGAGCGAGAAGCGAGGAGCGAAGAGGAGGAGGGAGCAGGAGGAGGAGGAGGAGAGTGAGCAGGAGAGGAGGAGGAGGAGGAGGAGGAGGAGGAGGAGGAGGAGGTGGAGGAGGAGGAGGAGGAGGAGGAGGGGGAGGAGGAGGAGGAGGAGGAGGAGGAGGAGGAGAGGAGGAGGAGGAGGAGGAGGGGGAGGGGGAGGGGGGGGAGGGGGAGGAGGAGGAGGAGGAGGAGGAGGAGGAGGAGGAGGAGGAGGAGGAGGAGGAGGAGGAGGAGGAGGAGGAGGAGGAGGGGAGGAGGAGGAGGAGGAGGAGGAGGAGGGAGGAGGAGGGAGGAGGGAGGAGGAGGAGGAGGGGGGAGGGGGGGAGGAGGGGGAGGAGGAGGAGGAGAGAGGGGAGGAGGAGGAGGAGGAGAGAGGAGGAGGAGGAGGGAGGAGGAGGGGGAGGAGCAGGAGCGGGGCCAGCGTCGTGAAGAAAGCACGGCGTCGGGGGTCCGGGCCCGCGCGCTGCCCCATCCAGCTGCAAGCGCTCCACCGGGCGCGTGGCTCGTGGGCGCGCCCTGGATGGCCTCCTCCTCCTCCTCCTGCTCCTCTCTCCTCCTCCCTCCTCCCTCCTCTCTCCTCTCCCCCCCTCCCCCTCCTCTCCTCCTCCTCCTCCTCCTCCTCCTCCCCCTCCTCCTCCTGCTCCTGCTCTTCCTCCTCCTCCTGCTCCTGCGTGGAGGACGATCCATGGAGAGGAAGCATGGGGCCAAGTGCTTTCCAGATGTCGACGGCATGTGTTGAACATGTTTTTTTTGGACATGTGAAAAAACCTGTTCGAAACACTTTGGGACATGTGTCCGAGATGTTGAGCACACGTTCGGATTCAGTGATGAGACTGTTGGAGTGTCCCTTGCCATGGCATCCACAAGGACTGCCATTGAACACAGGGGCCGATGCAGCGGGAGCGGCCGAGCCTGCGGGGCAGATGCTGCGAGGGAGGACAAGGTGCTGGGCTGCAGCCGCCGCCTTGCGACCAGCAAGCGGTCTTGCCTGAGGCGTTTCGGGCACCAGCGCCCGCGCAAAGCGCGGCTACGGGGCTCCGACCATCTACACCGCCACCACCCTCACCCCCATCTCTCGCCCAGGCAGGAGGAGGGGAAGAGGATGGGTCGAGGAAGGAGGCGGAGTGGAGGTGGTGGTGGTGGTGCATATTCTTGGGGCCCGCAGTAGACACGCTAACGGCCATGCAGGGAACGGCGGCGTAGGTTTCCGTATGAGGTGGGGACTTTTCGTGGCCAACCCAGATGTAGGAAAGCGCGGTTCGTGCTTTGCTGCAATCTGTTCTACGCGAGTTCGGCGTCGCAAAATCCAGATTTTTAACATCGCTGTTAAGCAATATCGATATCGTGAGCGTTGTTTTCTCCTTCCCACTGTCTCGCTCGTAACCCAGACCCCCCCCCCACACCGGGTAACGCCAACGATCGTATTTGGGGTGTGCACCTGGACCCCCACCCTACATGCTGTGGTGCACTCAGGCGATTGATGCTCCAGTGGCGCGGACGCACCCTGGCGGGTGCACGCCGCGGCCGCCGTTACCGTTATGCTCCCTCCCGCCCCCCCCCCTGGCTGACGACCCTTACCCGGGGAAAAGAAACGGTCACATCGCCGTTGGCGTGGCCGCCTTGAGCGAACCGAGAGACCTTCGTGGCAGCTTCGTCGTCGTGCCGGCGCAGCCTGCCGTGACGCTCTCGACGCGCGACGAGGGAATGCATCGATCAGGAGGGAAGGAGACACACAGACACAATTGATCGTCGATTCCCAAGAAAATAGGGGAAGGGGGGGGAAGACGGAAATCTCGAAACTATTGGCAAATATGGGGAATCCTGATCTTGGTGTGTATTTATTTGTGTGTCCCAGGGCCCCCTCAATTGATCTCGTGGGGCGGTCCCGAGGGTTTGGGCGCGTCTCTGGGAGTGAAGGTCAGAAGCCAGGCGAAGGCTGGCAAACCCGTGGCTGCTAAAGCTGAGCTCCGGGAAATTGTTGTTTTCCTTCCGGGAATCAGCACGTTTATTATGTCGCGCGCTGCGTTGTACTCCGGGACGTTGTTTGCTTCTTCCGGGGGAGCCGTTTCGGCAGCCGCGGATTTGCCAGCCCTCGCCCAGCTTCCGAGAGGGGCATATTCGGCAGCACTGCATGCCCGCAACGTGCGCAGCGGAGGCGCTGGCCGCGCCAGCGCCGCGGGCGCGCCATCCGCCGTCGCGCGAGGCAGGGGGGTGCGCCAGCTGCTCGCCCCGTCCGCGGGTGCGCTCGTGCCCGAGGCGCGGGGGCCTCTTGGAGGTCGGAGTTCGCAGCCCGCCCGAGCGGCACGGCCGCTGGGCTCTCCACGGCGGAGTTGCAAGGGGGGGCAAGACACACAGAGAAAAACGGTGTGCTTCGAGCGGTCCCCACCGAAGCCTTCGGCGTTGGATCCCGAAGGTGCGCGCGCTCCCTGGAACGATGTGCGCGGGGCGCGGTGGTCTCGGCCAGTGTGATGCCTCGTTATGCCATGCGATGGTATTTCATGTTATGCTACGTATGCTCCGGTATGTCATAGCATGCGTTGTTTTGTGGTGTTGTGCTATGACCTGCTATGTTATGTTATGTGATGGTGTGTCATGGTATTGTTTGGTATGTTCAGTTCGGCGTTGGTTTCTTATGGCATGCTTGATGTGTCGTGTTATGTAATGGTATGTGCTGTTACACGTTACACTGTGCTATGATAGGCATTGCTCTGTCATGGTGTGTTACGCTACGGTATGGTCTGTCATGATATGGTATGTTCTGCGCGGACATGCTCTCTTCGGTGGTGTGGTGTTATGCCCTGTTCTGTGGGGACCTGGGGATTGGCGGCCACGGTATGCAGAGTGGGCGAGTCGGCGCGGGGGGCGTGACCACCAGGGATTATCGGGAGTCTGGGGATCTGGCGGCCGCGGTATGCAGGGCGGGGGGGGGGACCTCCAGGGGTTATCGGGAGCCTGGGGATCTGGCGGCCGCGGTAAACAGGGCGGAGGGGGGGAGATCACCAGAGATTAAGTATCCGGAGCCTGGGGATCTGGCGGCCGCGGTATGCAGGGCGGGCGGGCCGGGATTTTGTTTTATTTGTTCCCAACCATCCTGTCTTCTTGGGTCCTCGTTTTGAAGATGCAGCGCCCTGCGTTCCTTCCTTCCTCCCCTCCTCCTCCCTCCTCCCATCCCTGGATCGTTTCTGTTTCGGCACACCCCTCATATGAGGCATCCCTGCAACGTTTCATGGCCCCGTGAGGAGCTCCATCAAAGGTCTCAGTGGTACAGTACACCCCTCACACGTTTCGTGGCCTCGTAGGGAGCTACACCGAAGGTCCCAGTTGTGCACTTCGCATGTTCAGAGGCGTAATTGTCCCAGTATGTTTAAGCAGCTGTAGGTGGAACGACAAACACGATGTCCGCCAGGGCCCCCGTCGGAGGAGTGGAAAAGCGAGAGCAATGGCGCGCGCGGTCGCGCGCGACCAGCCGCTGGTAATAACGTGAACGAGCGGGCGTCTCGGGACGGCGACGACGACGGCGGCGTCCGCGCCGACAGTGACGACGATGGCGGCAACGACGACGGCTGCGTCGACGAACGTCGCGGCGACGGCGGCGACAGGGCCTGGGCCCACGAGCGAACTTGCGCGCCGCCCTCGCTCCTGGAGTCCCGCGCCAGGTTTTGTGTGGGAAGCGAAATGTTTGTGCGCAGTTTTCCCTCAGCCGTCCCCCCGCTGTACTACGGTAGGTTCGCGTCGTGTCGACCGGCGGCGACCCCAGCGCGGGCGTTCAAGGTTGAACGCCGGCGGCGGCCCAGAATCGGTCGATGTTGAACGATTGGACGTTGCGGAACTGGCCGATCGTTCAAGGTTGAACGATCCCTGCGGTGTCAAAAACCAACGC